ACAAAAATTAAAGTGAACTCCTGGATTCATAATCCTTTTTTACCCAACTTGGAAAAGCCTGAAAACATGTCAAATGAGATATATGAATCTCTTTTAGAAATGTCATCAGACACAAGTATGGAGTCATTGTTCAAAACGACGCCTCTTAATGATTTTTGGTGCAGAATCCAAGATGAATATGCAATGCTTGGCCAAATGGCTCTGGATATTCTTCTCCCGTTCCCAACTACATATTTGTGCGAAACAGGATTCTCTACCTACGCAGCCACGAAAACAAAATATCGCAATAGACTGGACGCCGAAGCTGATATGAGACTCCAACTTTCTTCCATCAAACCTGATATCAAGCAATTGATGAAAAATAAAAAACAGTTTCATACCTCCCACTAGTTAGATTTTTTCTTTTTTAATGTTTTCTATTATTGTCCTTACCAAGTGGTGAAGTAAATAATAATTAGTAACGGATACATTGTACTTTTATTATGCTGATTAATATAGAATACACTTATAAAAATAATTGTTTTATTGTAGGGTTCCATCAAGTATTTTGCTTCCCAAAAGGGTTCCGTCATTTAAAAAGTTTGAGAACCACTGCCCTATTCAATAAAAAAAAACGGACTACACCTTTTTGAGCGCCGCGTTTACGCTCTTAAAATAAAAGATTTTGACTATTTCCAATAGAAGTACTTAAACAGTAAAATTATTCTTCCTATTGTAAGTTAATGTAGAATATTTGCAAATACTACTTTCCTTTTTTTGTACTGATCGTTCTACTGCAGCTAGTTTACGGAAAAAACGATAATATGCATAAATTCAAACGCCTCAATCTCTCAAAAATGTTCATAAATTAGATCAAATTAATTACTACAACATCAGAAATATGTTTTTGTTGTAACATAATTTATTAGTATTTTGATTTTCCATCTCATTAATATTCAAAAAAAGCACATCTAACCTCCGTGAGTTTTCCCAAAAGATAATGCAGGATTACCTCGTATTTTGATATTGAATTAAATAGAATTACTATCATAAAACTAATCTACCACCATTGAACTACTAAAATATGTATATATTTTTATAATTAGTTCATTAATAATTATACAAGACTCGAAACATCACCCGTAAAATGCAATATATACTAGTGCAAATCTACCTACGCGCCTATTAGTAAGGCAGCGGAGCAATTTTGTGAAAGGGCTCTTAAAAAAAGTTATGCGTCTCCAATATTTACATTGGAATACGGGCTTTTTAATAAAAAGTATCGTATGTCTCAATCCAGATCATAAACTACATGCGTACCAAATTTTATCTAAATACGTTCAGTAGTTTCGGCATTTATTATATTAAATAGGATTATGTAATATGTAGGTATAACTATATGGACAAACTGTACTATTTTTCTCGAATAAGTTATATTGAGCAGTATAACAAAAAGCAATTATTTGTCTATTTTGTTATATTAAATAACTATATGGATAAACCCAAAACGATTTCGTGTTAAAGAAGATTCAAAATGAAATAACAGTATTAAATTCAATAATTTATAAAGTGCAATATTACACGAGTTTCATTCATTGCGTATTCTTTTATATAATTGAATTGTTACTTAACACAATTACTCAAGCTTCATATTTATATAAAAATCAAAGCAGTCTATAAAATATTACGAAACAATATAGGTAATTAACGGTCGAGTAAGAAATACAAAATATCAGAACCATTAGCTTCATACAAAAAATACATCGGAATAAAGTCATGTATACCTACCTAGTTTTGCAGATGGGTTGTGGAAATTAATTTTTAACTGCCAAGTATTGCTGCTTACCTTGAGCATACAATAAATGTTTATATGTCATATTTTTTTCTACACAACGATAACTCTGCATATTATAAATGTATTAAGCTCCTGTAAACAGTATCTAATGTTAATGCTACACTTTATTTTTGTACTCTAATGTGGAGACGTAAGTAGGTAAATTCCTTATACTAAATCAAGTTGAGATTAAAGTAATATCATTCATTAGACTGTTATTATTTGTCATACATTGTTTATTATTAAACAAATTCAAAAGTATCTTCTAGTTCCTTATCTTCGATTATTAAGTTGGTACATTCGAAGGTTAGTACCTACTATCGAATAAGCTGATACCCACTTTAAATCATCGTACGCACGAGTGCTTTTTCAACGCGCCGTAATGCAAACCTTTTACAAGGGTACATTTTTTTCATCCTAATGTCCAAGGCTCAGCGTTTAAAATACAACGCTACTACAATATAAAAGCATCTCGTTAAAAATCTTAACGATTATAGCGGCATTTTTTTAAATATTTTTAAAAGGCGTTTAAAAGTGCTCGTGCGTACGATGGAGGACTCAAGACATAATTATTGGTCGAAGTTGATCCCAAATCAGCGCAGGTCACAACAAAAGCTAAAATAAATAAATCACGGTTAGTTTAAAACCTTTTTAAAATACGTAGGTTTACGCCGCGATATTTTGAAAAGACAAGTTAAATGATAATTAAGTACGAAGTGAAATATAGGTACTTCTTTTCATTTCGCTTTGCTCCCGATGTAACCTGCGGTTAAAGGTGCATTTTCTTAGCACGTTGCAGATTGCACAACTTAGATTGCTATGAAAATTATTAAAAATAACGCTGCAAACCAGCAGTGCTGCGGCCGACTGCAGAAAGCAGCTGATGTGCGGTTTGTCTGTAGTTGAACTCTGCTGAGTGCTTCGGAATGGCACCTTAGGTTTAATGGAAGGAAGCATTATACTAAAGAGATCGACCATAGGATCTACGGCCTGTTAAGTTTATAAATTTTAAAGATTGAACATTATCGTTGTGGAGAAACATGCATTTCAAGACATAGGCCGACGGTGATTTAATAACGAGTTTATAAACATCTTAGTAGCAGAGTTCTTTTTTAAACATTATTTTAAAACTATTCATATTTGATGAGGAACCCTGAAGAAACTATTAAATTTAAATGAATAAATCCCTTATATTAAATTTTAAATATAAACGAATACGGCTTAAATATATACGTAGCCATAATTAAATAATATAAAAACACACTTGATGGCCAATAATATTTTTTTTCTTTCTTTTCTATGGCCCGGTAGGCGAGGGACTTTTGTCCGCGGATGAGGCTTCTGTAAATGTTCGCACATCGTGTGCGTTTAGTCCGTGACAAATCCTCAGCGGATATTTTTTCACGATTCGATTTCACTCAACGGAAAAAAGTCCCTGCACAGGCCATTAGTGTACCAATAATACTTAATTCATAAGTGTAAACACATAGCTGCTACATAACCAATAATAATAATACTCTCTTTGAAAAGTCAGCTGCAGAGATACAACACAGTTACCATCAGATATATTGTAGATCAAATACATATATTTACCTACATAATTATATGAATGGGAACAAACGTATGCTAAAAAAACTTTTTGCATTGATATAAAAACTCATATTTTGAATTGTAGGTGTGTTATAAACAAGATGTTTATAAATAATCTGAACTTTTATGAGAGTATTCGAAACCGTTTAAGCTGAGTACTTAAAAAAGAACATCAAGTAGAATTTTACGCTTGAAAGTTTTTGCTTTGAAATTATTATTTTTTATATTTCTTCTGTAATGTTGCGTTCCCATGTTGGATTGGTGCCTTATATCGTTTTGTGTATAAAATTTGCTGTCCTATATTAACTTTCTATCTATGAATTTCCTAAATGGAACACAGCAATTATACTGTTTGCTTTGATCGTTTGCCTATTGTACTGTTTCCTTTAAAATATCAATTGTAATTTATATCCTATGCTGTATACAATAAAGTGCTTGTTATTGATATAATTTAACTGCTAGATGTTTAAATTTAAAGAAAAGTTTACTAGAAAAAATTCAATGTGGATCAGGCAGCAGATGGGACCTGCAACCTTCAATATCTGAGCGAATACACTGACCATTATAATTGCTTTACCATTGTTACGATTGCACCCTCCTTGGTTTAAAAATAGTACTTTAAAATACATATAACCATTGAACAGGTATTTGAAGACAATGTGTCTGATGGCATCTGTACATTTGATCATTTAAATTGAACAATAAACGGAAGTTAACTTTAAATGGTTGCGTCAGTTTGAATAAACATAGGTTTTAATATTAAAATTTAAAAATATTTTTAAAAGCCAGCAGTTGATGATTAGCAAAGTTGTTTCACGTCTACAAACCCCAAACTCGTGAGACTAAATTATAATAAATAAAGAAAATTTATTAATCTGGAAGATTTATTTCACAGTGTCCAACAGTTTTGTTCCCAGTGGACAGCAAAAAAAGTATATAGTACCTATTCCTTATATTTTTATTAAAATCATTGAGTTTTTCAAAACACATCCAAAGAAGAATCCTTTAAAATTTACGAAAAGTCAAAAAAACAACCACAAGTAAGTCTTGCTTTTAAATAAGCTTTCTTTTGAATAAGTATAATAATTAATGCAATTTACAACTGTTAGCTTATTTGATAAAAATACTCTTAAGCAAGTAATCTACTTCATTTACAAGCACTTACTAATTATTTTTAAACAATTAGTAAGTAATTTAAATTAAATATAACAAATATAAATATCAATGTTAAATGCTTATGACATGTTTCAAAATAATAAGAGATTAATTGGAGAATGTAAATAGTGTACACATTAGCTTCTACCTACTGTCAGTCCTTATTCACAAGTCACATAAGAATATATCTCAAAACATCGAGGTTCAGTTGTGTGTATAAAAATAACATATTAATATTTAAAGATTATTAAACAGTAACAATTTGTTTCTAACCATTGAAAGTTTTTATAAACAAATCACACATTGTTACTTAAAATCTACTTGTAAATCTTTGGCATTATAAAAAACAGATATTAAACTAAAACATGAATGTGTAATGCATCTGATATTTACATATCGCATTGCAGAAAAAAATGTTTATGGCACATGTTAGTTTGAATTTTGATTGTAAATGAGTACTATTATTATAAGTGACTATTCTGTTTTATTTGAAAATGAGCAATAAATTGGTATAGAAACACATTATTACTGTTGCTTTGAGATTCCTGCATGTTTTAATGTCAATATCATATCTGTCATGGAGTTTATTATATTTACATGATTAAACATTTTCTCTGGTGTCTTTTTTGAGGCTCTGGTCGTAGGACTGCTCGAACAGCTTCGTCAAATACCTGTTAAAGAACACACAACCAGCTTTTTAATGGATCTAATCATATTTTGAATATAGACTTTTGAAATTTTTATATTGTACAACAATCATGAACCAGTTTACCAAACGAAACTGTATTGTCATCATCAAATTATCTATAATGCTTTAGTACCTTGTACCCAGTACGAAAATTTAAAATGCAAAAAAATCCCACTCTTCTATTTCAGTTAACATTATTACTTACTTGTTTGAGGCCACGTTGTGTTAAAGCTGAACATTCCATATATTTCACTGCCCTTATTTTATTTGCCAGCTTTTGACCTTGTTCTCTTTTTAAAGGTGACATTCCTTGTTCTGAGAGAAGGCTTAGAGTCTCCCGATCATCCCTCAAATCAATTTTTGTGCCTAAAAACAGAGAAGTATTAATTAATTATGAATTTATTAATATCTGGATTATGATTTGTGAAATTAAACTGTTTACTATATAGATTGAAACTTTAGTGATGTTAAATATACAAGCCTTCCATTAAAAAAATATATACAGTAGAGCCCGTTTAATATGATCACGTTTAAAACGATATGCCGTTTTGCGTCAGTCATTGGGACATGTTTTCATACATTTCTTAACGCAAAATACGATTCGTCATCCCGTTTAATTCGCCTAAAGCGCCAACACATACCACACATACTAAGCGGCCCCCAGGATTTTCCTAGGTATTCTTCCTTTGATGAAAATGTAGCAACGTACGAAATTTAATCAAGTGAAGATCTTATTGAGAATGTGAATAACACTAATAACACAAGAAAAGGCTCTATGTAATAATGATCAAGAAGATAAGTGAACTCCAATTTTTTCACACGCCCAGGCATTATCAGCATGTAATGTTTGAAGACGCTATGTAAAATCTTTGAATCAAAGATAATAAAAAAATTAATTATCTTGAAAATCTTGTTAGTGCTAATGCCTAAAAATCTTTTTGTTGAACTAAAATAAGTGATAAAATTAAATAACATAATAAAATAATACACTACATTTGTTTTAAACTTACATAATTCCTAAAAATTGTACATTTAACACCTCAATACCTACATTCCAAATTTCCCTATGCATGTGGGATCCAACCCTGCAACCATAATACGCTTTTCCGCTTAAGACGCGTTTTTTATTGAGTCCCTGTGAAATCGTCTTAAACGGGTCTTACTGTAGTTGTGTTTATATTCAGTTAAATATATTTATGTCTATTTGAATACTTACCAACCAGAATAATGGGTGCATCAGGACAGTGATGTTTAATTTCTGGGTACCACTTGGAAGTAACATTTTCATAAGATGAAGGGCTAAAAAAGATATAGGTATCTTTAACAAGAAAGCAATAAGCATATAAAATAAAAAGTGGCACTTATGTCATCTTTGTTTATTAATATGATAAAAATTTCATTGATTCCATTTATATTATACATTAATAACTTCAAGCATCTTATTAGGAATACATTTTTAAGTAGGGAAAAATATTGGTTTATTTTTGTCTTAGGTTTTCACACCACTCATTAAATAAATCAAGTTTCAACGGTATAGATGCACTGATTTATTAATTTATGAAGTTTTGCATTCTTTTCAGGATGCGTCATCAAAATAAAGCATTATTCTGACAATGCAGCTTGAAAAGGATGAGAAAGGTCATAAATAAATAAATCAGTGCATCTATAATGTTGAAACTAGTTCTATTTAATATTGTTTTATGTCTGGTGTAGTTTTTGTCTAGCAGTGATAATTACCTCGTAACACTGAAGCATATAAGGAAGACATCAGTTTGTGGATAACTTAATGGTCTAAGTCTATCATAGTCTTCTTGTCCCGCTGTATCCCAAAGACCAAGGGATACAGCTACTCCATCTACTACCATTGGAGCTGAATAATTATCAAAGCTGTAAATATCAAAAAATATAAGGTTAAGAATTGAACATAACTTAATTCATACAAATTTGATTTTACGAGATCTAATAATTCAAACTGCTTACACTGTAGGTACATATTCGCCTGGAAAACTATCAGTAGTGTATGAAATTAACATGCATGTTTTCCCAACGGTCCCGTCGCCAACAACTACACATTTGATAGGTCTTCCTGATGACATCTGGTGAATAAAATAATGAATGGAGACAAAACTATGACTCACAGCAGAACGTATGGTAAAAACAAACTTTGACAATACCGTAACTGTTTATTTTATATTGTGATACCTATAAATGTTAGATCAACGAGCACAAAACAGAGCACAGACGCTAATAAATAAGAAATTCTAAAGAAACACGTTATTTTTACTAGAAATTCTTCTTTCCATAAAATTTGTGAGCTTTTTGATTGAAAGATGGATGCGACATTTGGTTCACAGATTACAGAGATAGCTCTGTATGTATTTTGTTAGTCTGTGTTTTGACTACTGACAGATTAAGGTGTGTACAGACTACGCCATTGAATTATGTACGATCATAGCGCACGATAGAGTAGCGGCGGCCTTTGAGCTTTGAGGTGTCCATGATGCTATTGTCGTAGAACCTTTTTTGTAAATGCAGGCAGCATACTTTAATTTGAATTTAGTTTGACATTTTAGGAATAGATAGATAAAAAATTTGGTTTGTCAATTATTATGTCATGTTCTTTTAGACTGAAGTAAGTTTTTTATAAGTTTACACATAGTTTATACATATAATTTTATCCCTGAACTTGCAAGCGTTTCATTTAACCACATAGAGAAGTTCGGGGCAAGGCATAGCGCCGGTTACTATCCACGAACAGCTAGCGTACACACGATCAACATACGGTTTTTAAATAAAAAAAATAGTGCCTCTTTAATTTAAGAAATAAAGAGCATTTTACTGTGTACGCTAGCATGACGTCAAGCTAGCGTACCCATGGCCGTCCCCAAGAACGGCATATATTTAAGCAACGAAATTGACTCACAAAAATAGTTCGCAAATAGTGCCGTGGCATTACAAAATTTCATAATAAATACTCTTAAAGGACCAAAGATATTGAACTAAGCATTCTTAGCGGGCGTCAACCTGGCGTACCTATAACAGTTCTCATAGAAAATGAACTTTTTTCTTTATCAATGCTATATGTATAAATAGTGTGTCAAATAGTGCCTCTAACAGTAAAAGTATTTTATGTAAATTCGAGTACACAGTAAGACAGTAAAAATTCTCTTTATTTCTTGAATTAAAGGCACTATTTTTTTTTTATTTTTACACTAATTTGGCAATATTTACGCAGTATTTAATGACATTACGAAAAACCATATATTGATCGTGTGTACGCTAGCATCACGGACACAGCTTTGAGGATTTATAATGGGAGACGGCATTACAGACATTTTCTCTCTGTGAAAAGATCCAAGAACATTGTTCTAATACGTTTATTAAAAACTACTTTCGATTCGACTCGAACTCATAAAATTAACCGAATTCGGTACATCAACAGCTCCCCAAGAATGCCTGGATTTTCTGTAACATCGTGCAAAAAGCGTTCAAATACATCGAATTTACACAACAACAGAATTGCCTTTTATATGTTAGTATTTTAGATTATTTCTTAGTTGAATTCATGTTTTTATTTTCAAAATACATTCCGATTCTCGATCAAATTAACATGACTATTCGATTTTTGTGTTATTCGTCTTTCACACAGCGAATGGTGTCCGTACGTCATGCTAGCGTATACCACATCGAGTTCGAGGTTGTTACTTATGCTATTAAAGGTAGCTTTCCAATTACAGCATTATAGCGCATTATGCGGCATAATGCTTAACGTTGAGTGTTTCAACTACAGCAACGCTTCGCACAATCGAGCACTCTCAAAACTAATGCTTTCGTGTGATTCGTGCAATCGTACCAACTCAGAGACAGAAAATTAACAAGTGTTTTTTCTGTAAGTTGGCATTGATCGAAATGTTTAATTTATATGATATCGTTAGTAATATTATTTATTGTTGAAAAATTATTAAAACTTTCGTCTCATAATAGTTTTTTTTTAAATAATCAAAGTTAATTCAAACTGTGTTTAAAAATAAAATATAAAAATGGATGAAGGTACAAACATTGACTTTTTTTTCAACACTGAACTTAGCGCACTCTGCTGGTGCATTTGAAAACTAATTCACGTTCCAATTAAGCATCAGCATAATTCGGCATTGTGCGCCACTGAGTCGCATTATGCTCAGTAATTGGAAAACCACCATATAGTGCGTAAAATAATGTCTTATTAATACAGTAATAAAAAAATCTTCCTCTTTAGTTTAATACATAATTAATGTATTCATGGCGTATGCTGGTGTGACGATCAAGGTAGTCAACACCAGTCTATTGTCGTATTATTCTATTGTGAATTTATATACACTTTTTATACTAACAGAGGCAGAATTTCACGCAGTATTTATACATGTATGTATCATATGTTACTAGAGAAGTTCGCTTTCAATGGTGCCAATTCTGGCGTGATTCTCTAAACTTAAATCTAAATTTAACATCAGTCTCTCCTTTTCATTCTGTATAGAGAATGACAAGGATATACTGCTGTCAAATTTAAGTTTAGGTTTAGAGAATCATGCTAGAATCGACACCAATATGCACTATTTCGGGTACGCTACCATGACGCCAGCTCCAAAGGTTATTTTTTTTTTCAATTTATTTATTTATTTCGACCAAACAAGGATCATAATCATAATCATTACATTAAATATCCAATCACATAAATATTACAATAATCATAATAATAATATAATATAAAAAATAATCAAAATAATTCGAATCTACACTAATAAATTAAATTAAATTATAATACAATAATAATCAAACAATAGGCTTGTGTCAACTAACAATAAATCGAATGGGTTACAGTTTCTAAATATGAATTATGATATACAGATAACAAAAAATAAAGCTATTTATCATAATAATTAAAGATTATTATTATTTTTAGAAAATAAATTCGAATAAAATAGGCATTAGATCACGTGACGGCAAACACCAATCAGAAAGACTGACGTCACCACGTGCAAAACATTACTTGTGGTTGCCGTTTCCATACATTTCATTGATATCTCATTCATGTTATTGTTACTTTGATACAATTATCAGTTTGTTTTCAGATAAGTATTTAAAGGAAGCCTAATAAATCCATGGAATTGGGATTTACCGAAGCAAATAATAATATTTTAACCAAAATAAAAAATTAATCGCATAACTACTCGACATAATTAAGCATATCATTTGGCAACTAGAACAAGAATAAGAAGTGTTTATTATTATGAATAAATATACTGAACCCTCAAATAGACTCTAAATCATACCATAAAATTAAATCAGCTTACCTAACCTCAACCTATTGTCATTGTTTTATCAATATAATACACTCAGACCAACAAAAAAAGAGCAATATAATTTATCCGGCTTGTATAACATTTTGATTTCATTGATTATGTTATGCAAAATACTTACATCAAAATGTTCATCACAAAATTATTCTTGTATTTGTTGATAAACAATGAATAGGTACCATCCCTCCTTGCAAGTTCTAACCATTTTTTCCGCATTTGTGGCATATAAATAATTTGTCTGGCGTTTTATGCTTCTCCTTTTATACTAGGACACTATACAGTACTTGTAATGCGATGGATTCATTTTTAACTAAATAATTTTAATAGTTGGCGTACAGCGTATTGTTTGCTTTGCACGGCGTGACGTCATTCTAGACGCCATGACAGTCTAGAGCGTTTTCGAGGGAAATTTGAATAAGTTTTTTAAAATACAAAATACATATTGCTAATGTACTTTTTTATTTAAAATAATATTTTTTTGGGGTTAAATAAACATCAAGGTATATTATTAACCACTTTTTAAAATATAGGCAACTAGCCTATTAAATACAAAAAACTACACTCATGACTAAACTTTGTTAGTCAGTTCATGTATCATATAACAATGGTTCATGTACTGACAGTCAAAACGTTCCGAAAATAATTTCAGGATGGTGCTCGGGCTCGCCCGCACCCTGCGTACCAGGGATGCACACCGCTTGCGCATGGCTGTATAAAAACAGTCCACTCGGTATTCGGCAAACATACCCGAAGCACTGCAGTATGGAGGCAGCCCCAGCAGCATCCTGAAAGCATTATTGAACTGGACACGCAAGGCACTGTACTGCTTTTTGGTGTAGTTGATCCATAAGCTGCTCGTGTAGAAGGACGTACAAAACGCTCTGAACAGAGTGATTTTGACATCCCTCGAACAGCGAGCAAACCTACGGGCAATCATGTTAGCTCTTATCGACAGCGCCCTACGCTCCCTCTCAATATCAGCATCGTCCCTCAGGTCAGACGTCACTAAGTGTCCAAGATATTTAAATTGGTCTAACCTCTTCAAAGGCGTACCATTGAGTTTTATTGATGGAATGTTATCAAGAGACTTCCCTCTAACCCGAAAGACCATACTTTCACTTTTCTTCACGTTATATATCAGTCCATGGCTAGGGGCATACCGTTCACATATAGCTATGAGCTGTGACAACCCGCAGACAGAAGCGCTCAGCAGGACCATGTCATCCGCATAACTTATATTATTTAAACAGACACCGTCTATGTGGCAGCCCACATGAGTACCGCTGAGCTCCCCTATCAATGCATCCACATACAGATTGAAAAGTTTGGGAGAGGTCAGCCCCCCCTGCCTTTCTCCACACTCCAATCTGTACGGCTCTGAGTACTTCCCCAACCACCGAACTACGTTGACCTGGTTCAAGTACCAAAATTTTATCACATGCACAAGGTCACGTGGCATTGAAATATTGGCAAGTTTTTGCCATAAGATGTCATAACTAACAAGGTCAAACGCTTTCGACAGGTCGAGGAAGCAAGCATACACGGCTGTATTACGGTCTGTGTAATACTTCACGGTCTGCTTTAAACTCAATATTGCAGTCTCTGTAGATAAACCCATTCTAAAGCCAAAGGGGTGTAAGGGGTTCTAAATACACCTGCAAGAACCCAAGCCAACCTCACCTTCACGTGGTGCACCCTGTTGACCAACAGACGAGGCTCTGGCAAACCGACCGATGGCGGTATAACCATCCAAATGACGTAGGGGAGGAAAATGTCACTGGTGACGGGCAGCAGCGTCATCAGTAAATAAACCTACGCTCTGCGATCGCCAACCCGCCTGCCCAGCGTGGCGATTATGGGCAAAACCTTCATGCACAAGAAACTCAAGCCACGGCCCCCAGTTCCCGGCAGCCCCGCTATTCCTGGTCACGGTGGCGACCACGGTAACGGTGGGGCGGGGGGTGCCAAGAATCTCCGGGCTACGGGAGGCCACCACAAAAGACTGACCCTGG